GGATACATGAAATTACTCAAAGTACATTAGAATCTCTAAAGCATTATACCTTTCAGTACTTGAGGTATTGGCCGATTCCTTGACTTCTCTTTCTCCCCACTTGTCTTTTTAAGTGTATATATATTCACCTCTGTCTGTATCTGTGTTTGTCTGCCTATCTCTTTTTCTGTTTCTCTGAAAGGGGAAGAAAGAAGAGATCTCTTTAAACAAGAGGCCAGGATAGTATGTAATAGAGTTCCCAGGCTTCAAAGAGACTAATATTAAGAACCTTAAGTTGAATTGCATAGGTACATCCCCAGGTCTCACTCTCCTTCTTTCAACCTTATAGATACTTTTGACATTGTAGATAATGGTGGTAATTAGTCAGCTGAAGAAATTTGTCTTTTTTTTTTTTTTTTTTTTAGAAATTTGTCTTAAGAGAATTGTATGACAAGGATAGTTCCTACACCATTATTAAACAGTTCCTGTTCCTGTTCTAGACAAATAGAAAAGGAATCTTTGGTGACACTTCCCATTGCTCTTGCTCTTACAGCCTTTCACTTTGGTTTGTCTGCATGATATCATGACCAGTTTCCTAAAAATTGTTCAGTTAATAAAACTAAATAACTATCAGCTAGAGTATTGATGTTAATGAAGGATTGCCAGTCCCTCAATTCCCAAAATAAACTGTTCTACTTCGGTAATGATAATGGAACAAAAGCTTATAGGTAGTGCTTTTGAGATTTCTTTCTCTTAAGTAAAGGTGATAGCTAGAGTATTATTTCATTAGGTGGAGCATTTTAATTTCCTTTCAGTTCTTATTGAAGCAGTTATACAGATGTGATCACAGGGGCTGGAAATTTATTATCTGAAACAAAGCTGATACTGTTTCAGAGTGTTTCAGAATCCCATAATTAGATTTGAGAATCCTATAATTAGATTCTATAAGTAGATTCAAATTTGGGAGAGGGTAGTTCAACAGTAAATAAATGCATGAGATATGTGAAATTGTAGGTAGGATTTGGGACTTAATGCGCATGAACAGGCTAAAATTTAATTGACTGTCCTCCTCAGATATATCCTGCAATAGGATGAAAACTTATAAGGGTGGGGAAGAGAGAAAGTCTAGGAATCAATTATATTCTTTTCCCTCTAATGTAGAAAATGCCGTATTTGTCAGTTTGTGGATAACATAGGGAAAACTTCATTCTAGTTGCTAAATTGGATTTTGTCTTTATGAATCTTTTAACTAACAGTTTCCCTTAATTCTAAAACTAGAGTGATTAAATTTCCAGTTCCACTTGGGTACTGGCTAATGTTTTCACCATGTCAACTATTTGGTTAACTAACAGGGTATTTTCTGAGATACTTTGTAAATGAGTTTCTTTTCCTTTAGCAGCTTAATTTTTGGCAGAAATATTTGTACTCCAAACCTCTTCACTGAATTTTTTTAGTAACTCTTGTGTTATGCAGCTAAAATGAGTTTAGTCTATGGTTTAGTCTATAATACTTTGCAACACATAGCAAAACAATATTGAGACTTGTTTGAGAGAATCAGAGCATTGTTAATCTCTATTTAGTAATTGAATTTTGCACTCAGGTTTATCAGATAACTATAGAAAATACGTGTCTTTATAAATTCTTATTCAAAAATAGAAAAGATAATGAAGAAAAAGGTTAACACAGAAGAAAAAATCATTAGAGGGAAGAATGTTAAAGTTTCATTTAACTCTAATCTTCAGAATTTTAATCAACTTAATATCTTAAGTACATGCAATATGTTAATTTTAGGCAAGAGATTTTTATAATCCTCTAGTGCTTCCTTAGCCAAAATGATCATGGTTTTATTTATAAGTTTTTATTAGGATCAAATAACTAAAGGATAAATGGCCTAATTTAGTTTGAAACTTGGTATATTTTAACAGACTACTGTCTGATGCAGTGGTCTAAGGCAGTGCATCTTAACCTAACAGACATTTAATTACCTGGGAATCTGATTAATCATAAGGTCTAGGGCAGGGCCTGATATTCTGCATTTCTAACAAGCTTCCAGTAGATGCCCATGGTGCTAATTCTCAGGCCACTCTGTTTTTTTGTTTTTTAAGACATTTATACTTTACTTTAAGGACAGTAAATATGAATCACTAGATTTCTGTGTAAAATGCTCTATATTTTAAAAAACATTTTATTAGACTATAGTTCATTTACAGTGTTATGTTAGTGTCAGGTGTTTAGGTCAACACTCTGAGTTGCAAGAGTTTGAAGTAGCCCGAGGGTTCATGTCACAAAGCAGTTTTGCTTTAAATGTGGCCCAATAGCATAAGGTTTGAGAGCTCTAAAACTTGGACTTCATTGTAGTTGTGGATGGAATAAAAAGATTTTGAGGGAACAAAAGAAATGAAAACAGCCTTAATATTTCATGTTTGTAAGTGTTTTGATTACTGGAGTGGTAAAGAAATAAAATAGGCCCTCATTATCATCATAGTTGGTCTTTTATAATGATATATATATATTTGTTAGTAGTTTTGGTTACTACTAATAATGGAATTGTTTCATTGATAATGATAAGGCAGAAATTTTTCTTTGAATTTGGATAGGTGTGGAAAGAAAAGGGCTAGGAATGCCTGTTACAGAATCATTTGAAGTTTTTTATGCCCTTGATTGGCATCCATATTTTAAAAAATAAAGATGAACAGTTTTTTTTGTGTGTTTATAAAATATTACTATTGCCAATATTAGTTTTGAACCGTAAATCATGAATATAATCAAATTTTCGCTAAAGATACTTGCATTAGATTTTATAAATAAAGTTTATGAAATTAAAGTATGTTTTCTTTGTTATATTTACACAGGTATTTAATATTTAAAAATCTTTAATCTTCAAATTTGAAAGCTCCAGATTTGGGTACATGGACCAAATACATTGATTTTAATATTTTTTAGTTTGTGCTGTTTTGAAACATCATTTGAAGTTTAACTTAAATTATTTGTAATTAAAAGTAGATATTTATGGATCATTCAGTGTTTATTACCTGTGAATAAAGAGAGACTGTAATCTTGATAATAAGATTTTAACTAAAGAGAATTATACATGAGGTCTGACTAAATGAGTCCCAAAATAGTAAAAATACGTTTTAAAAAACATAAAGTTCTGATTGATGTTCCATGTTTATTGTTCACATGATTACTATGGAATTCTCTAGAACAAATTTTCATACTTTAATCCCAGGTCCAATTTTTTGAGTCATCTTGTAATCTTCTTTTACAAGATGAAAGAAAATTGTTAATTAAAAATTTAGAAGTATACCATACTCTGAAACAAAATTAAATTCAACCATCTTACATATTTTACAGGATACATCTTCGCTTTATCAGCAGGCAGGAAAGAGAAGACAGTTGCTTTTTTTTTGTATGTGGTAGCATGTTGCTGTATCTGTAGTTCCTAATAACCTGTCCAACTGTTACACTTCTAAGCTGAGGCAAAGGAGAGACTGTTTGATTTGTCGGGAGAGGGGCTGGAATGGCGTTTGGAGAGTTAAAGGAGAGTGAGCCTGTGGGAAGGCCGGCAAAAGGGAGGAGGGAAGAGGGTCCTGGGCACCTGTGTTCTACATCCATTACTGGCTTCTTTCTCTGTCCATCCTGAACTCCATTTGAAGTTAGGCAGTGAAGTGACAAAGTATGTTTTGAAGGCTATACAGAAGAGGTGCAGAAAAATGGAGACTTGGATTCTTAATAGCTCCTTTATTCTGCTTGTTGGGAGAACCTTGGAAAATAATCACTAAATCACTCAGTTTATTGAGATGGATAAAACAGGGCAGTTTTCTATTTCCTGCTCATTTGTATTATATCAATAGAAACAGCAGAACATCCACATGAACCTGCTCATATCCTCAATGTGCATTAATACTGTGAGATACACATATACTCAGGAAATCAAAGAGGGAAAAAATGGGTTATATGTGTATTCTTGATTCTTCAATGTAGTGTATGTTTGGCAGGTGTGCTGCTTTCCTTTTTCTTCTATCCTCTGTAGAATACTTCCTTCCACTTGCTAATTTATAGTTCTACTTCTAGAGACTAGGGTATCTTGACTTTGCTCTGTGTTGCTCTTAGCAAGTATTCAGTACAAGCTAGGGTTATGATTTCTATCCATCTGCTTAGTTACAGAAAATTCTGCTGCAGTCCAAATTTTTTAGATACCATGTAGTTTGTTATCAAAAGATTTGACCTGAAACTCATTTTAGTAAGAGTGAATTAGAAAGAGCAGAGCCTGTCTTTTTACCTCCCAGAAATGTTTTGAGAAAACATGACAAGTGATTGGGATAGTTTATGTGATAGCTGGTATATAAATTTGAGATTATTATTTTAATAACCAAGATGAAGTCCTGTCTTTGAGAGAGATCTTTCTGGGCCTTTTGCTCCTGAATATCTGAGAAACAGATAACACAGCGAGAAAGGTTAAGAGCATGGAATCTAGAGCCCTGCCTGCAGTTTACTAGATGCATGGTTTTTGACATATTACTTAAACTGTATGTGCTTCAGTCTCCTCATATATGAAGTAGGAGTGGTAATAAATACTTTCTCTTTCTTTCTTTCTTTCTTTGGCTCCACCAGGTTTTAGTTGCATGTGGGATCTAGTTCCCTGACCAGGGATTGAACCTGGGCCCCCTGCTTTGGGAGTGCAGAGTCTTAGCCCCTGGACCACCAGGGAAGTCTCAATAAGTACTTATTCTAATTGCTGTTAGACTTAAGTGAGTTAACGTATTTAAAGCATAGAGATCCCTGAAACATATTACATGCCTTATAATTGTTAGCTATTATTAACACTTTTGGAAATGTTAATAAAATAAATTATATCACATTATTTATTAATATTGGCTATACCTGGATTAAAAAGTTATAGTTTTATACTTTTGTTTTAGGATATTAACTATTACCTTTTTCTCATTATTTTGTTTACGTTTTTGAAGGTTTCCCAATGAGTGGATCATGATGACCGTATTGTAGGGACTTGCCATAGTATGGCTGCTTCCCGATCTACTCGTGTTACAAGATCAACAGTGGGGTTAAACGGCTTGGATGAATCTTTTTGTGGTAGAACTTTAAGGAATCGTAGCATTGCTCATCCTGAAGAAATCTCTTCTCACTCTCAAGTACGATCAAGATCACCAAAGAAGAGACCAGAGCCTGTGCAAATTCAGAAAGGAAATAATAATGGAAGAACTACTGATATAAAACAGCAGAGTACTCGAGAGTCATGGGTAAGCCCTAGGAAAAGAGGACTTCTTTCTTCAGAAAAAGATAACATAGAAAGGCAGGCTGTAGAAAATTGTGAGAGAAGGCAAACAGAACCTGTTTCACCAGTTTTAAAAAGAATTAAGCGTTGTCTTAGATCTGAAGCACCAAACAGTTCAGAAGAAGATTCACCTATAAAATCAGACAAGGAGTCAGTAGAACAGAGGAGTACAGTAGTGGACAATGATGCAGATTTTCAAGGGACTAAACGAGCTTGTCGATGTCTTATACTGGATGATTGTGAGAAAAGGGAAATTAAAAAGGTGAATGTAAGTGAGGAAGGGCCACTTGATTCTACAGTAGTTGAAGAAATCACAGGCTATTTGGCTGTCAATGGTGTTGATGACAGTGATTCAGCTGTTATAAACTGTGATGACTGTCAGCCTGATGGGAACACTAAACAAAATAGCACTGGTTCCTATGTGTTGCAGGAGAAATCAGTAGCTGAAAATGGGGATTCGGATACCCACGCTTCAGTGTTCCTTGATAGTAGGAAGGAAGACGGTTATATAAACCATAACGTGCCTTGCACAGATTCAGAAGTGCAGGTCAAGTTGGAGGACCACAAAGTAGTAACTGCCTGCCTGCCTGTGGAACATGTTAATCAGCTGACTACTGAGCCAGCTACAGGCCCCTTTTCTGAAATTCATTCATCTTTAAGGGATTCTGAGGAGGAAGTAGATGTGGTGGGAGATAGCAGTGCCTCAAAGGAGCAGTGTAATGAGAGCACCAATAATGCCCTGGACACAAGTCTTGAGAGTATGCCAGTCTCCGGAGAACCAGAACCATCTTCTGTTCTAGACTGTGTTTCGACTCAAATGATGTCTTTATCAGAACCTCAAGAACATCGGTATACTCTGAGAACTTCACCACGAAGGGCAGCCCCTACCAGAGGTAGTCCCACTAAAAACAATTCTCCTTGCAGAGAAAATGGACAATTTGAGGAGAATAATCTCAATCCCAGTGAAACAAATGCAACTGTTAGTGATAATATAAGTGAGGCTCTCACAAATCCTGGTGAAGTTTCTCACAGTGAAAAAGGCATATGTTGTGACTCTGAAAATTATGGGAGTGAAGGACTAAGTAAGCCATCCTCAGAGGCAAGACTCAATATTGGACATTTGCCATCTGCCAAAGAGAGTGCCAATCCGCACATTACAGAAGAGGAAGATGATGATCCTGATGTTTATTACTTTGAATCAGATCATGTGGCACTGAAACACAACAAAGAGTATGTGTAAATATGGTAACCATGAATTCTGCTTTGTTTATTATTCCCTAAGTTTTCAGTATCTATTCATAAATGTCTGTAGCATTTTTATTATAGCTAAAATTAATGCTTTTAACTGAAATTTTGGGTTTCACACAATTATATTCCCAACTCTTAAAAAATCTTCAAAAAAAAAAAAGAGAGACTAAAATCCAGCTTTATTAGTCTTCTCAATGGTGATGTGATTTTCTAGTTTTGAGATTTCACACATCTCAGTTAGACATGTGGAAACATGGTTGATAGTGTTTTACTTTTTAGTAAGTTTTTTTATCATTTGAGTTAATTTATAAAATGGAAACCTCTTTAGTTATCCCAGTACACTTTGATTTATAGTTATAGAGCATGATGAATTGTATATGCCTTCCATATAATGTAGAATAATGAATGAGTACATAGACATCATCCAAATAAGGGAAATCTGCCAGGCTACAAATCTACATTTGTCTTAGTTACTTACAATTTCCAGTTAAAACTTTTGATTTAAAAAATGTGCTTTATGCATCATCATTGACTTTTGTGGTGTAGAGAAGTATTACTGTTAATACTGTGACAGCCAATTGTATCTTGTAATTGGCTTATTAGCAAGAGTCAGTCTACTCTATAGTTTACATAAAGCTTTTGAGAAAGATTTTTCCTAATTCTAAATTATAGGGAGACTATCTTAAAATACTCTTTGTTCTCAACTTTGTCATAAAGGTACTTTTTAAAATGAAGAATTCACTGTCCAGATTTATCACAGTTTTGCTTAGATTTTCTATACAGTATTCTGGGCAGTAACACAAAAGGAATTGGAGCTAACTTTGTCTAAATCAGGAAAGGAACAGTTAACAAAAGTGCTTATCATAAATATGATCAGCAGCAGTAAAAGACAGACTTAAATATGAGTTAATCAGTTTTACTTCTCCAGAATAGTCTTTTGAATTATTATCATAACCAGATTATCTAGACTGTGTAAAAGTACTTATTTGAGGAACCTTTTTAATATTTTTGTTCTGACAGTTGTCAGAGTCTGCTATATATTGAATCAAAGTATCAAATCCTGCTTGTAGAATATAATAATCTTTTACCATGCCTTGTAAATAGTTCAGATTTGTATCTGATAACATGGTAGTCTTTTAGCATAGATCTCTTTTCTGAAAATTTCTTTATGTTTTCTTTATAAATAGCATTTTAATATTGTGTTTAATAGATCATTTTGTCTGAGCATTTTACTTATTGTATGGAACTATTAGCATTTTCATGTATTTGAAATGTTTGAAGTCCATTGTGAGGTGAAAAAACAATTCATTAAGTGAAGTTTTTTTCAATTTGAGGTGAGTTGAGTTCTTGCCATTAGTACACATGTATCAGTTTTCAAAAGTAGAGTTGTTTTTCTGCAGGCACTAGGAAACGGAGTATATGTCTTGTGGAAATACCAAGAACTCAGGAAGTATGCATATTTTCAAAATGATACCTATTAATTCTATTTCTTGCTTTTTATTGTGTCTTTGCTAAAAAAGTTACTCTCTTATAAGGTTTAGCTGCTTATTAAGATGGAAAGTATTTTCCCATTGAAACATTGTTACTTTTTTGGTACATGCTCTTCTAGTGATTCTGAAGAATGATGTTCCTATAAAAACAATTCTCTAAAGATAGTGGCCATAATATTTGAAGAGTGAGGTGCATACTCTTAAACCTGTGAAAATGAGAGCAATACAGTTTCATGGGTTGCTTAAGATAGAGAGTCCTTTGGAATTTGGAGGATAGTTGCTTTATTAGGACAGTGTTTTCAAGTTAGATTAGTGCCTTGTTGGATGATTTTGGGCAAAAGAAATCATTCCTTCTAGCTTTTTTGCCTTTTCCAGATCTTTTGAAAATAGCACCTCTTGACACTTTAGTTTTAACTCTTTTCCCCCAAAGGAAGCAAATCAGGAGAAGTGAGAATGGAAAGGGAGCATCTAGATTAGCATCTTGGTTAAAGATAATCTAAGGAAAGTTGGGAGGTGATGCTTGATCATATCATATGTAATTTCTTTCATTAAAATCCCTATTCCTGTGCTTTTTATCTAGAATCAAGAGATGGTTAGATTAAATATTTTGGTTTTGACTCTTTTTACCCAAATTGTCATTGTTAAAAATAGCATCACGATACCTGTCAAATACTTTCAGTTCTCAAGTAAATTTCTGGCAGTTGGAAAATATGTTGTTTAAAGATACTTTGGGGAAAGAAAAAAAAAGACACTGGGGATAGATGGATTACTGTCCTCCTGCACATGCAGACTCCACTGGTAGGGGGTGAGTACTTCCTGATAGCCATTTTCAAAAATATATTATGAATAGAAGACATTGAGTGTGATCTAGTTCTTTGTCTGGAGCCAGGAGGCCATAACTCTTTATTTATTCAAGTTGCAGTTTTCTGAATTAACATTAATTAATTAACAAACTTCTAGCATTCATCCTATAATTTATCTTGTTTGCAAGGGTATCACATATAGGGTCATTAGTCACTTGTAAATGTTTGAAAAGATATTGTATGTCTAAGTCCTAGACTTAGACCCTCTTCATGGCAATTAGGCCATAAATGCAGATGTTTTAGGTGCTTGCCCTGTTTCCTCCCTAGATGCCATCCCTCTTCTCCAGCACTTAAGCCCATAGGTGCTTTTATATATTTAATTTTTCAAATGGTGAACTCCACTGTGAGCAAGAGACTAAAGAGTATTTTCTTCTCTGGCATGATACTAGCTGTGGATTATTTTACTAGAATATGCCTTAAAGATTAGGGGATAGAAGATCAAAAAGAAACGTTACTTTACCTCAAGACACTCTCACTTCAAGGTTGATAGAGTCTTGGGCAGATAATACCTAATGATCCTCTTTTTGGCCTAAATAACCAGACTGAGATCACGTGCTTACCTGTGGATTGCTCTTTTGGGTAATTGGTCTTTTGCTGATTTTGAATCAGAAGCACTGAAACTCACATCCAAATTTTGAAATTCTGGTCCTATAGAGAGTAGATACGTAAGATTTTAGGTCCTGGCATTTATTTTTTAAGCTTTTTATTTTATATTGGAGTATAGTGATTAACAATGTTGTGATAGTTTCAAATGGTCCTGAGCTTTAATGTTCAGAGCTTTCCTTCCAATTTACTGGAAAATAAATTTTCAAATGAAAATGTGATTTTGGTCAGTTTCCTCTCAATTCTCATTGTATCAGTACAAGAATACTTAAGTAAAATTGTATTTGAAGGGCCTTGGTTAGCTTCATGTATGCTTTTATGAACAGATAGAAGGTGAAAGATCAGATTTAGGGTTTCTAGATTTTTGAGGTCTTAGAAAAGATTTAGCTTACTGATAATATTGCTAATATTTATTTTTAAGTTTCTAGATAATTAAAGTTTAAGAGTAAAACAGTTTTTGCTCTTCTAAGTATTGCTCATGTAGTCTTCAGGTCAGAATCTTATTTTTAAATTATATTAATATTACAAGAATTACAGTTTCAAACTTGTTTCTCTAAAAACATTAACGTCCTAAATAATTATGATATGTCCTTCTGTTGCACAGTGCTTATAAAGAGTCAATTGATATTTCATCAGTTTCAGAAGCTACACAGGAAAATTCTCATGAGTTCTTCAGATTCACTACTTTCTTTGACATTACTTTTGTTGTTTGTCAAAGTAATTTCTCTTGAAGGGCCAGAAAACTCCCAAGAATAAGGATGGATTTTGCTTAGAAAGCACTAGAGTTGTCATCCTGCCCTGCATAAAATAATTTTACATTTGTATTGTGTTTCATATTTTGTAAAGTAATTCCATCTAGTTTCTCATTTGACAGCCACAACAACTTGGAAGTAGACAGCATAGGTGGCAGTATACAATCTCTATTTCCTAACTCATAGTTAAAGTTTTTAGGTTATTTATTTAAAGTATGATGAATTCTAGGGAGAAATGAGGTTAGAACTTCAGTCTTTTGACAGCCAGAACTACACTTGGTTTCCTCATCTAATAAAGATTTATCCCATGGACTTTGGGGGTTTCTAGGTTGAGAATACTCGTGGAACAGATCTGGGATACTCAGTTTTCAGAATTGTTAGCCTAAATTTAAGCTCCATAATTATAGTCATAATTATTTGGTTTTACTTATCAGAGAATCAGCTTTATAGGTAAGTAACCTGTTCATTGAATGAAATGCTTTCATGTTTGTTGTTTTGAAGAACATTTTGTTAGTGTGTTTGTGAAGGAAAGCTACCAGCTACTGGGGAAATAAAAGTACGGCTGCAACTTGATTTTACATAGAGGATTTGGATAATTTGCAAAAATTAACTTGTGGAGGGTGGTTTAGAGTGCAATTAAGTGTAAGTCAAAAGTTACGAGGGAAAACTCGTGGGAAAAGGCTATGAACTGTAAGAGCCAAAATGGGACAATAGTTTGACACAAAGATTGATGGGAGAAGGGAGATAACTGTCCTAAGTATAAATTATTTCTGTTATAAGTGGAGTAAGCCATTGACTAGCCAAATACTCAGTGAATTCTTTGTCTTTTCCTTTGAATACCAACATCTTTTATTTCAACTAATGTCAGTGGTATCTAAAAGTAATTATCTGCCTATAATTCAGGTATATTTGTACTCAAATATTATTTAATCTGTTTTTCATTTAGGGTCATCTTTGCTGACAGAGGTCATGTGTTAATACTTTTTCTGGCATCATTGCCAGAATAGGTCTGTTTTCACTTAGGTTAAATGATTTGGGCTTCTTTGCTTTTTAATGTTTTTATAACATGGCTTCTTTTCATTGTTCTTTTGTAATTTCTCTGACTTCTTATGCTTTTCTTCTTTTTTAAATTTTTGTTGACTTTCATTAATCACTGGTACTTTCCTTTGGTAGCTCAGCTTCCCATTCATTTTGGCTGTTTTTAGCTTTCTTTAAATTTGGAAATAAGAATAACCAAGCTTATCAGAATTGTCTCATGATTGTTAACAGAGAGA